CATGAATTTTTAGCTGTTTACTTTTTGATCCGGCGGGAAAACAGCCATTTTACTCTAAAAACACAAAAAATCGTGGGAAACTTTTTTTTCGCGGAAACCATAATCAATTATGATTCACCCGACTCCTATACCATTACCTTATGTTACCTCCGTTGAAGCAATATCGATTTTTGGAGTTATGAAAATTTTCAGGTGTACTTGCATGACTAGCACTGGACTCAAAGCTCAAGAAATGACATTCACCTTTTTTTTTCGAACCACACCGACAAGAATTAATGTCACCTCAGTCGTTTACGAGGGAATAAGCTAAATAAATTCACACATACTTATAATGTGTTAAAGCAAGTGTGAGAAAAGTTTCAGCTAATTTTAAGAAATTTCAAGTGAGTTACAATACTTTGAATTGCAAAGAGTCAATTTGTTCTCGCGGCGGGAAATCAAACACGACTTCAAATCAAAACAAAACTTGCTACTTCTAACCAATATGGCTGAAAATTTATACCAGAGTGTAAAGCTGCATAGATAAAAGAATGATATGTTTTTTTCTGCATTACCTTGCATATTTTGGCCGGTTTTTAAGTGCAATGGCTAAATGTAGCGGGAAATCAACCAAAATACGTACTTTTTGTCAGATTGACGCCTTTAAGGCTAGAATTGCACTAACCTTGATGTTTCTTTTTGAAAATGTATTATTTTATGKCAATGGCAATGGAGATTACTTGAGTAGATCAAGGAAATCAGTGATTCAAATGGGTATTCAAAATTTATCGCTGAGTGTAAAGAACAAAATGGGCAAACTATGTTGCCCAATTAACGTAAGTATAAGTTATAACCTCTGTATCTTTTGTTTCATTGCCAGCGACGTTCCAATATATATTCATTCTAACACTGCGTTGTTCACATTGGACATAAAATATCAATTTTAAGGTCATTTGGCGTTTGCCTGATCTTGCCGTTAGGTTGTTAGTAAGCACAAGGAGCAGGCCTTATCCGAGGGTTTTAGAAGGGTTACCCGTGAGCCATTGAAAAGGAAAATAAGTATTAATACTTTACTATCAACCGTCAATAGCCATTAAACGCCAAGCCGTTAAACGCCAAATGCCCGAATTTGTTCACTGTCAACCGTCGAAAAAACAATATTTTTAACTTTTACCGTAAATCCTCGAATTAGCGCCCCCTCGAATAAGCGCCCCCTTCGAATAAGCGCCCCTCCTATCGGCCAAAATTTAAAATAAGCGCCCCCTCCCCTTCTCCCATCTTGTGGACGAATAATAAGACAACAAAGGATGTATAGTTTTCGTCGTGTAGTATTAGATTTGTGCATTGTTTCAGTTTGTGAACACG